AATAAAATTTTCCCCATAAGAAGATCTTTGATCAGTTTTCCAGTCACTCTGTTTTTGAGAGCGATCACTGCAAGCACCACGCTCTCCAACTATCGATATCGCAGTCTACAAGAAACAGTTTAAAAATAACATCGATAGATCCAGACAGCGCATCAAAACTTCATCAAAATTTGAAGAAATGAGGGAGTCAATGGAGAGAGTGCCGATGTTGATTTGGAAGTGGTCGAAGATTTCAAACAACGCATTAGTGAACTGTGTGAAGGGTAGAAGCCAGAATATATTTTTAATACTGATGAATAGGGTGTTTATTTTAGAGCCTTGCCTGATAGAACACTGGCAACAACATCCGACGATTGTAAAGGCGACAAAGTTTCAAAGGAGAGACTGATCGTGTTGTTTACATGCAACATGACTGGCAAGAAATAAAACCGTTCGTTATCGGAAAGGCAGCGAAACCATGCTGTTTTAAAAATATTGATCCAAAAACTTTGCCTGTATACTGGAATTCTAATAAGAAAGCCTGGATGACAAGTGCCCTATTTGAGGAATATCTCTGTGATTTGAACAATCAAATGCATCGTAAACGCCGAAAAATCTTGCTTTTTCTTGACAACGCCACTTCACACTGCCCGAATATTAGGCTATCGCATGTCACTCTGAAATTCTTTCCTGCCAATACCATATCTGTTTTACAACCGCTAGACCAGGGAATTATTAGAGCAATTAAAATTGGACACAGAAAGAGACTCTCACGTTCTGTTATTGCAAAGATTGACACCAATCGAGTGCGAGTGATGTGTCGAAATCCGTAAATGTACTTGACGCCGTACTCTGGATCAACAGTTCATGGGATGACATGAAATCTGAGACAATAACAAAATGTTTTCACAAAGGTGGTTTCAATTAACTGGACAGTGAAATCACTGATGTGGAAAAAGCAGACAACACAGAAGAGATAAGAAATCTTATCAATGAAGTCACAGGGCCAGACGTTCAATGCATCGTTGACGAATATATCTTAACTTCGATGACAATATACCGACAGAGGAAACTTACGATAGCGAATGGGAACAGCAGATTCTGGAGAATTTTATTAAATACAAAGAAAAACCAAAACTGTCCAGATGACGATACGAAAGCAGTGAAAATCAAATCGTCAGTGAATGTGACGAGGGCAGCAACATGACACATGAAGATGTGCTGCACATGTTGACAAAAATAAAGAACTTCGCAATCAACAAAGGCTTGTGTTACCTGACGGCAGTATAAACCCTGCAAACCAACCCTGAACAGAAAATTGTACAGAAAAGATGTTTGAATAGTTTTTTATGACATTTATGTACGTACTTAACTTAAGTTTAGTGACTTTTTTCAACGTGAATCAGTGACGTCATTAAAAATGGGCGCCTTCATTAACATGTCTCTAGTGAGTTTTATTGCTTTTTTTTGTACATGTACAACTTTATTCATAAATGTACTACATGTAATCAAATAATGTGTAAACTTTCGTTTTATTGATAATAAACGTAAATACAATGATATTTACTTATAGATATGCCCCATTTTTTTCAAAGGCACACACCCACCCTGGATAAACCGACTCCCTCTGAAAACCGACCCTACAATATGGGCCCACCCAAGGTCGGTTTTGACTGGTTTTACTGTATATGCTATGTTTAATGTTATTTACATTGCCCCATATTTCTCTTCTTTTGCTGTAAAAAAACTGAAATTCACCAGCCCAGATAGATTAATATCTTTTTTTTTTTACAGACACATATAGCATGCCGTTACCTGGCTGCAAAATGTCATGTAAGTAACTGGTACATTCTTTGAGATTATGTTACCGGGTAATCACAAATTCTGCTTTCAAGTTCCCAGACTCTCATTTTGAGATGAGTCTGGGTCCTAATTATAATACATGTAGCATATATACATAAATCTTCAGTGTGTCTATACTTATATATATATGTACTAGTATAAATTCTTGCTTCTCACAAATTTGTTTTATACTATAAGTAATGTCCCTGTTCTTCATCAATTTGTATTGCATTCTTCCATGTCATGTTTTCTGTTGGTAGCTTCTATTCTTTTAGCTTTCCAATTCCAGATGTAGGTTTCTTATACATCAAACCTAGTATTTCAGTTTATCCTAATGATTAATTCATTACCGGTAATCAGTGTTTTTTTATTATACATACATGTAGTATGAATGCAAAGAATGGCAAGAATCCTTAGATGTTTTAGATATGATTGACTTCACAGCTAAAACACCAAATAAGCATAAAAGAGATGACTCCAAAAATAATACAAAAGATTTTGATTGTAGAGTTCCAACCAGAAAGGTGAGTCTTTTTTTGGTTTTATTCAATCAAAGTCTAAGAAGAGAAACTGATGCTTGCATACTGTGGAATACTTTATTTTCGCTGGAATTAATTTTCGCTGAAAAGGCTTTTTGGGCCTTTTGTATGGAATTTATTTTCACTGATTTTTGATGAGTTTAATGTGGAATATAGGAAAAAAAGTATATTCGCTGGATTTTATCTTCACGGAATCTTCCCTTCAGCGAAAATAGCGAAAATAAATTCCAAGCGAAAATAAAGTATTCTACAGTATATGTTTTGTAAGACAATTTCTCAGACATGCACACACTGATTTAATTAAAAATGTACACCAATTTTGAATTTTGTAATCTTGTTGAGAGATTGTGATTGTGCCTTTAAGATACCACTTTACGTGTATCTATCAACAAATAATATTGTAAAGAGCATTAATGATTTGCTGTTTTTTAAACTCATCATTTTCAATGATAAGTAAAATTTGCTGAATTAAATTCACATGTACATATAGAATAACAATAGAACTCATTGTTTCACTGCCAAGTTTGTGAACTTAAAAACCAGTGAAATTGATCAAAATAGTGAAATTAATTGTCAGTAACAATAGTTGACTGTGTAATAATGCATGTGTCAATCTGAAAAGAATACTGCATTAACATTGTTGGGTTTTTTTCAGATGGAGAGTTCTATTTATCTTCTTAAAGGCAAAGTATATGAATCCATGAATAATAGAGGTCTAGCTTCAGATAGTTACAGAGAAGCATTACAGTTAGACATCTATTGTTATGAAGCATTTGATCTGCTAGTCAGCATAATATGTTAACAGTAAAAGAA